GGGTTTGAACCGCCAGCCGTCTGGTTAGCAGGCAAGTGTCTTAGCCACTATGCTACCAGAGCTCCCGCCTTCCCATATATACTTTATAAAATTTGGCATGTGCTTATTGAGAATACACTGTATGCAAAGAATTGTGTGAGACTGGGAAAAGAGAAGGGAAAATTAGGAAATACAAAGATATATGAGATACACTAACTGCTTTTAAAATCTTATTCCCTAATAGGATTCATAAAAAATACAAGTCAGTGGAAAGAATTCTCCGTATACCCTCCACCACGATGTTAAATGTTAACCTTCCTAAATGTTAACATTTTACTACATTTATAAATGTGAATCACACTTATAAGTCAAAGGCTGCTATGTAATGTGGTCAAGAAGGCTTGAGTTCCTTGAATGTTTAGTCTCCACTATAGTATTGTTCCAGATTATTTGTTGTAGGGGTTGACAAACTTTCCAGGATAATGTGCCAATTCCAATTAATTCATGGTAATAATTGTGTGCTAGGAAACTATTTTCATGTTTCAAAAGTTCATGTATTGAATGCATCACCGTAGTTTAGTTAAATAAGTACAGTATTTAAAGTGTTTTAAGAAGCTCTACTAAATGTTTAAATTGAAATATGATCACACCAGTTTAGAGTGATCCCATCCCTTTCCTGCCACATCCTCTTTGTGCTTCTCACTTTTTTTCTGGTGTTGGGATAGAGTCTCAGGAGACTTCATTACCTCTTCCACTGCTGGCCAGACAAAAAGACTATGTCTTTGGAATTCTATTATGATTTATGGTTTGTTAGTGTTCTTTTAAAAAATCATTTTGTTGGAGTGGTGGTTATTGTTCAATTTTGGCAGCAAACCATTTTGGGGTGAGTACATCATTTCAGCAATACTTTATGGCATGGACCTTTCGCCAGTTGTTTTTAATTATGCAAGGTATGCATATTTAAACTTAAATGAAAAACCAAAAAAATGAAACTCACTGCCATTGGGTTAATTCTGACTCATAGTGACCCCCATTGGGTTTCTGAGGTGGTAAATCTTTACAGAAGTAGATTGCCCCATCTTCCTTCTATAGAGTGGCTGGTGGGTTTGAGCTACCAATCTTATGGTTAGCAGTGTCAAATGCCTTAGGCAGTGTACCACCAGAGCTCCTTAAACTTAAATTGTTGTTGTTTTGTTTGTTGTTATATGCCATTGAGTCAGACCTGACTCATAACGACCCCTCCTTGGGTTTCCAAGGTGCTGTCACTATGGAAGTAGATTGCTCAGCCTTCCTTCCGAGGAGTGGCTGGTGGGTTTGAACCACCAGCCTTCTGGTTAGCAGTCAAGTGTCTTAGGCAATTAGACAACTTGATTTATTTTATTTCCGAACACATATTATGCACTTGAATTGTTCAACCAAAATCATTTCCATTGAGTTGAGTCTGATTCATAGAGATCCTATAGGACAGAGTAGAACTGTCCCATAGGGTTTTCAAGGCTATAATCTTTACAGAAACATATTGCTAAATCTTTTCTCCCATAGAATTGCTGGATAGATTAGAACCATCAGTCTTTCAGTTAACAGACAAGCACTTTATTCATTGCACCTCCAGGGCAATCATTATACCTTGTCTCATTCCTCTTTTATAGGAATACTTACTTTATCTTCTTTCCCTATTCGTCACCTGTGGCAACCACTCATCTATTCCTCTATTTCTTTTAATCTGCCATTTGAAGAGTGTTATATAAATGGATTCAGTATGTAACCTTTTGAGATTGGCATTTTCAGCATTTGGCATAATTCCCTAGAGATTCATTCAAGTTGTGTGTATCAGTAGTTTGTTCCTTTTATTGCTAAGTAGTATTCTATGGTATGTGTATACTGGAATATATTTAACCAGTTGTTCATTGAAAGATAATTGAGTTGTTTCCTCTGTTTTTGTGGGGGTGTTGGTGTGGTGGCTATTATGAATAAAGCAGCCACAAACATTCATGTATAGGTTTCTATGTGAACTAAGTCTTCTTTTCTCTGGGATAAATGTCTGGCAATGCAGTCACATGGTTATATGGTAGTTGCATGTTTACAAGTTTTATAAGAAGTTTTTAAACTGTTTTCAATGTTATATTCCTAAGAACAAAGTATGAGTGATCCAGTTTCTTATCTCTAGCACTTGGTGTTGTCAGTATATTTTAGTTTAGTCATTCTGATAAGTGGATAGCAGTATCTCATTGTGGTTTTAATTTGCAGTTCCTAATGGCTAATAATGTTGAACAACTTTTCATGTGTTTACTTTCTGTCATCTTTATATTCTATTTGGTGAAATACCTAGTCATGGCTTTTCCCCATGTTCTAACTGGATTGTTCAGTTTCTACTGTTGAATTATGAGATTTTTTTATATATTACTTTGTTAGATAGGTGGTTTCCAAGTAATTTTTTCCCATTCTATAGATTTTTTCATTCTCTTTTTAAATTGAAGAAATCTATTTATTTTATTAGGACATGTAATTTCCAATAAAATGTTGCTTTTTACATTTAATATTATCATTGATGGCAACCTCATGAATGTCGGAGTAGAATTGTAGTTCATAGAGTTTTTATTTTTGTAATAATATGGTGTTTTAGGTGAAAGTGTATACAACAGTTTAAGTTCCCATTTAGCAATTTGTACACAGGTTATTCAGTGACATTTGTTACATTCTTCACAATGTGTAAACATTATTATTTCCATTCTGGTTGTTCTGTTTCCATTAATCTAGTTTCTGTGCCCACTTTCATTCTCATCTTTGTTTTAAAGTAATTGTTGATATACTTTTTTTTTTGGTGGTGGTTCTTTTTTCTTTTGAATATTTTATTGTGTTTTATGTGAAAGTTTACACAGCAAATCAGGTTCCCATTTCACAATTTTTGTACAGATTGTTGCTTGACATTGGTTACAAGTTTTGCATTGTTTCAACATTCTCATTATTTCCATTCTGTTTGTTCTCTTTCCATTTATATAGCTTCCCTGCCCTTCCTTGCCTTCTCATCTTTGCTTTGGGTAAATGTTGACCATTTGGTCTTGTATAGTTGATTGCTTAAGGGAACACATTCCTTATGGGTTGTTGTTGTTGTTGTTGTTATGTGCCGTCGAGTCGGCCCCAACTCATAGCGACCCCTCCTTGGGTTTCCGAGGCAGTATCACTACGGAAGTAGGATTGCCCAGCCTTCCTTCCGATCCTTATGGGTAATGTTGTTAATTTTATAAGCCAAACTATTATTTGGCTGAAAGGAGATCTCCTGGGATGGCATTAGTTCTAAGTTAAAAGGGCAGTAGTCTCTTTTGAAAATTTGATCTTTTTTAGGAATTTGAGATTTGGTTTACATTTTTCTCCCATTATATCCAGGATCTTCTATTGTGTCCCCTGTCAAAATGGTTAGTAGTGGTAGCTGGCACCACCTAGTTCTGGTCTCAGGCTAGAAGAGTCTATGGATCATGCGCACTATTGGTCCTGCAGACTAATTTCTTTGTATCTTTGGTTTCCTTCATTCTTTTTTACTCCAGATGAAAAGAGACCAATAGTTGTTTTTTATCTCACAAGCTTTTCAGACCCCAGATGTTACTCACCGAATTAAAATGTGGAAATCACGAGCTTTATTATGCCAGTTGACAAAGTTGTCCCACGAGAGTATGATCCAAGGCTCTGTAACTCAGTGAACCAATCTCATGAGGTGTTGTAAATATGTCTAGGAGGTCTGTGTAACTGTGCCCCCGTGTGCTTTATTATATATATGAATATAAATGTAGCACACGCAAACATATTTATACTTAGGCCACAAATAAACCTATATATGCACATTCATGATTCAGATATATTTCCTATATACATACAACATTATATGGGTAGCTCTATAACCATATACATATGTTTTAGTTGTTATTATAGTTTTTGCAAAACTGTGTATATTATAACATTTACCTTAATTTTCCCTTATTCTTCCATACCTCTCAGTGTCTTTGTTTACCTTGGTCAAGTTGTACTGACTTCCCCATATTATATATTTTCTTTTCCATCACCACAAATAACAGGTGTCTATTTCCCAGCAAGTGATTCCCTCTTGCTAAGCCTTTCATCTCTGGTAATCATCAAAACACATCACTTTTCTTGTGTGTACATATTCTTGACTTTTTATAAAAGTGAGACCATATAATATTTGTCCTTTTATGATTGACTTATTTCACTCAGCATAATGTTCTCCACATTCATCCTTGTTCTAAGTTATTCGGTAGACTTATCATTCTTCTTCTTCTTCTTCTTTTTTTTTTTAATTGTGATTTGGGTGAAAATTTACAGAGCA